TTTGAAAAGAGTGGTGTAAAGTGTTTCAATTGTCAAAAGCTTGGGAATTTTTCCAAGGAATGTAATGCAAAATCGAAAGAAAACCAAGGTGATGAAGCTAAGGTTGCAAGACAAGAGGTGGATAATGATAATACACTTCTGGTCATGATCACAGAGGAGAATTATGGCATGGAAAAGCTGGTGAATATCAGTAGTAGTAGTTGTCAGAAGTTGTGCAACTGCGTTTGCAGTGCAGAAAATTCTGCAGAAACACGTTCAAAGAAAAACACAATGGTAATCATTCGAGATGAAGTCCAAGGTAGTGATGAATGGTACTTGGATTCTGGTTATTCAACGCATATGACAAATAGAAAGGATTGGTTTGTCAAAATCAATCAAGCCACGAAGAATAGAGTAAAATTCGCGGATGGCACCATTTTAGTGGCTGATGGTGTGGGTGATATTTTGATCATGAAGGATGGTAGTCACTCCTTGATCAATGATGTGTTATGCATTCCTGGAATTAAATGTAATCTCTTGAGCATTGGCCAATTGCTTGAGAAGAATTACATAATTTGCATGGAAAATAAGATTTTACACGTTTTTGACCAAAACAGAGTCTTAATTCTTAGAGCACCAATGGTTGCAAATCGTAATTTCAAGATAGAGTTGAAAGTGATAGAGCACAAGTGTCTTGCTACAGCGGCAAGTCGTGATGAGTGGTTGTGCATTACCTTCTTGGGCATCTCAATTTTTGAGACCTCGACGTGTTACAAAGGAATGGTATGGTGACCGGGATGCCCAAGATCAATGTTCCAACTGAGATTTGTGAAGAGTGCATTCAAGGTAAGAAACACAAGAATAGTTTTATCAAGGATACGGGTCATAGGACTAAACATCATCTTGAGGTGGTGTACTCCGATGTTTGTGGTCTAATGTAAGTCGACTCGTATGGTGGAAATAGGTACTTTGTCACTTTTATTGACAATTTTAGCAGGAAGCTATAGATTTATATAATCAAGATGAAAGATGAGGTGTTTGATGTGTTCAAACGTTTAAATCCATGGCGGAGCGGCAAAGTGGTCGCAAGTTGAAAATTCTCAAAACGGATGGTGGAGGCGAGTATACCTCGAGTGACTTTGGGAGTTATTGTGATGTTGAGGGTATAGTGCGTGAGGTTGTACCACCTTATACACCTTTAAAAAATGGTGTTACCGAGAGAAGAAATCGTTCGATAATGAATATGGTTTATAGCATGTTGAAGGGAAAAAACTTGCCGAAGGAAATATAGGGTGAAGTCGTATCTACAGTCGCCTATTTGTTGAATAGGTGTCCTACTAAGAATCTGGACAAAGTGATGCCATAAGAGATATGGTCTGGTCTTAAACCAAGTTTGAGTCATTTGAAGGTTTTCGGTTCGGTAGCATTTTGACATATTCCGGGTCAGCTTCGAAAGAAGTTGGATGACAAAGGAAATATAGTGGTGCTAGTTGGTTATCATCCTACCGGAGGCTACAAATTGTTTGATGTGAGTAGCAAGAAGATTGTGATTAGTCGAGATGTAGTTGTGGATGAGTTGAGGCAGCTTGACAGCAAAAAAATTCAAATGACAACAGTAGAAACCGGTTTCCCAATAGAAGTAAATATGTTTCCTTTGCAATTTCTGCATACTGAAGCTGTTGGAATTGAATTTTTGGAAGCACAAATCGGTTCCTCTGTTCCTGGAAACTGGTTTCCACCAGAAAATGCAGAAAACCATAATTATGCAGAAGTAATTCAACATCCGATCAAATTCGAAAATGGTGAATCCAATAGACATCCAACAAGGCACAGAGTTCTATCTCAAAGGCTCTGAAATTGTGAAGTATTCCATGATAATGAGATCAACAATGATGGTTATCTTATTCACTTTGCGCTTATGGCTGAATCTGAGCCCGTGAGCATGGATGAGGCATTAAGAAATTCAAAGTGGATATGTGCGATGAAGGAGGAGTTGGAATCTGTTGAGAAAAATAGTACTTGGGAGATGGTCGATTTACCGAAATGGAAAAAGCCAATCGGTGTGAGATGGATCTATAAAATGAAGGAAAATTCCAAAAGGCGAAATTTTCAAGCATAAGGCTCGACTAGTTGCGAAGGGATTTTTGCAAAGAGAAGGTGTAGACTATGATGAGGTGTTTGCACATATGGCTAGATTAGAAACCATATGGATGGTTGTTGGTATTGCGAATGGCAATAATTGGTAAATGTATCAAATGGATGTAAAATATGCATTTTTGAATGGTCCACTTGAGGAGGAAGTCTATGTAGAGCAGGCCCCTGGTTTTGTGGTGAAGAATCAAAAGGGAAGAATCTATAAATTGAAGATGACACTCTATGATTTGAAATAAGCACCTAGAGCTTGGAACAAACGCATAGATGCATTTCAAGTTGAGGTTGGCTTCAAGAAGTGTGTATCCGAACATGCTGTTTATGTGGAGACAAATGAAAGCAAAGAAGTGAATATACTTTGCTTATATGTGGACGACTTGTTGATTACGGTCAATAATGAAGTGAATATTTCTAAGAAAGTTGATATGTACGATGAAGGAAGAGTTGGAATCGGTTGAGAAAAATAGTACTTGGGAGCTGGTCGATTTACCGAAATGGAAAAAGCCAACCGGTGTGAGATGGGTCTATAAAATGAAGGCAAATTCCAAAAGGCGAAATTTTCAAGCATAAGGCTCGACTAGTTGCAAAGGGATTTTTGCAAAGAGAAGGTGTAGACTATGATGAGGTGTTTGCACATATGGCTAGATTAGAAACCATATGGATGATTGTTGGTATTGCGAATGACAATAATTGGTCAATGTATCAAATGGATGTAAAATCTGCATTTTTGAATGGTCCACTTGAGGAGGAAGTCTATGTAGAGCAGGACCCTGGTTTTATGGTGAAGAATCAAAAGGGAAGAGTCTATAAATTGAAGACGACACTCTATGATTTGAAATAAGCACCTAGAGCTTGGAACAAACGCATAGATGCATTTCAAGTTGAGGTTGGCTTCAAGAAGTGTGTATCTGAACATGCTGTTTATGTGAAGACGGATGAAAGCAAAGAAGTGAATATACTTTGCTTATATGTGGACGACTTGTTGATTACGGTCAATAATGAAGTGAATATTTCTAAGTTCAAGAGTGGGCTTATGGAAGAGTTTGTAATGAGTGACCTTAGAATCATGACTTACTTTCTTGGCATAGAGTTCCTTAAGCCAAAAATGGGGTTGCTTATGCATCAAAGAAAGTATGCTCTTGAGATTTTGAAAAAATGTGATATGGAGCACTGTAATGTTACCATAATACCGGTTGAAGAAATGTTGCATCTGTCCAAAAGTGAAGATGAGCAAGGTGTGGATCCAACACAATATAGGAGATTGATTGGATCATTACGTTACTTGTGCAATATGCGGCCATATTTGGCATTTAGTGTCAGTATTGCAAGTAGATTCGTGGAGAAACCAAAGGTTTCTTATTTGGAAGAAGTTAAGTGGATCCTAAGATACATCAAAGGAACTCTTGGTTGTGGAATTCTCTTTCCCGCGGCTGATACGGGCAAAACCTGCGAGTTACTCAATTATACGGTTTCCAATTGGTGCAGAGATAAGGATGATCAAAAGTCTACGGGTGGTTATGTCTTTATGTTCGGCGAAGATCTAATCTCTTGGTGCTCTAAAAAGGAACCTGTGGTTGCACTCTCTTCTTGTGAGACCGAGTATATCGTTGCATCGATGTGTGTGCCAGGCTGTGTGGCTTATGAATCTGTTGAAGGAGTTGGGCAATAATGTACAAAAAGTTGTTACGCTCTTGGTTGATAACATTTCAGCCATTAATCTTGTAAGGAATCCCATAGCACATGGAGGAACAAGCATATAGAGATGCACTTTCATTACTTGAGGGAACTGATGTGTGCAGGTCAACTGAAGTTAGGATACTGTCGAATCGAAGAACAACTTGCAGATTTGTTGACGAAAGGCGTGACAAATGATGTGTTCAAGAAGCTTGTGAGAAGTTTAGGTATGAAAAATGTTGAGTATTTGAGTTAAGGTGGTGTATTGGATGTTGGATATAATTTAAATGCATTCTGGAAGCTTCTAAGTTTGTTTCGTGCAAAACAACTTATTTGAAAAACACTTCTGGAAGTTGTTAAAAAATTTATTTCGAAGGAGAAATTGGTTTCCCAGTTTGGGGAAACTGGTTTCTGTCACGAGTTTTTAACTTCCAACTCTGTTTTATGTTAGGGAAACCAGTTTCCTTGTTTCTAGAAATCGGTTTCCAGCGCGACCGTTTGGTGTTTTTGCTGTGTTGTTGGGCAAAGTTGTTTTAAGTTGTATCTTATATAAACTCTCTCTCTCTCTCTCTCTCTCTCTCTCTCTCTCTCTCTCTCTCTCTCTCTCTCTCTCTCTCTCTCTCTCTCTCTCTCACACACACACACACACACACACACACACAACTTCATTTTCTCCAATTAATCACTTCCACCATTGATTCACCAATTTAATTTTTGTGTGAGTTCCAACAAAACTCACTTTTTACATGTCGGTATCGTAGCTAGGCTTTATTTTAAGTCAGAATTAAAAAATATATATATGTCCAGACTAATCTACTAATTTGTTTGAAAAACTAATACTTAAATATAAGATTCTATTGAGAAAATTGCGAGAATTAAAAAAATAGATTAAAATATTATATTTAATGACTATTTTGTATAATTTCACAAATTTATCTTTAAGAAAGAGAAATAATAAATATATATGTGTAATTATTTATTATTAATTGCAAAAGAAAAATATAATATAATTAAGTTTGGAAAAAAATCATTAATGCATTTAAAAACTTAAAAGAGTTTTATACCACATCAATTCACCCACTTTATAAAAGAAATTTCCTTATTTAGTTATAAACATATAAACCCTGGAAATTTGAGATAATCAAGGATCTGAAATAGAATTATCTACGCATTCACAGAGAAAAAAAAAACCAGTGATGGCTAGAGAATTTCATGCTATACTTGGCGGTGGCAACACAGATTATATTTCAGGGATTTTCCATTTCTTAGGAATCATCTTTCTATCTCTTTCAGTTTTATCAATCATCATTTTTTCATGTGGCGATGAGAAGAACAATCAAAAGCGACGACAAAAAAGAAAAGACGGACGTGGGATTAGTGGAATTGGTGGCCACGGTGGCACCGACGGAGGAGGAGGAAGCGGTTACGGTGGAGGCGGCGGTTAGATCTATAAGTGACGCGGTATGGAGATTGGAGAGAGTTAACTTTTAGGGTTTTTCTCGATTAGGTTTGTACACATTTATCTTTTTTCGGTATGCAATGTAAAAATGGAAATTCAAGTAATTGCGTGAAAACATTGTTGATTTCATTTTTATTCTTCATAAACCTGCATCAAGTTTATATACTGGTAATTTTATTGTGTAGAATGAAAATTGAATTAGCCATGGCCCAGTTTTAAAAAACTGATTGGCCGCGACAAAACGGTATCGGCAATCCGCTCGATATTTGAAATCACTTGTATTATTCATGCTATTAGGGTGATTACTGTCACCATTTGGAATTGTTGTTCTGATAATATATAAGCATATCTTTTGATTGGATTTGAGGTGTAGCTTTACTTGCTACAAAATGTAATTTACAACATTCAGCAACTGTTATATATGTACATATACACAAGTTATTCAAAGACTGCAAAATTTCTAAAAACAGGTACATGAATCTGAATAGAGAATTAGAAACAGTTTTGGAGCTTATAGAAGAACTACATCCAGTTTCAACTTCATTTAGTGCGACCTGAACACGAAAGCGCAGCCACTATCATCTTGATTATCCTTATCTTGATTTGCCCTCTCCTCTGTGGGATCATCATTTGCATGGATTTACTCCTTGGCTTGTTTTCTCTGTACTCTGCTAACATTGGAGAGCAAATTGGGATGTCAAATTGCATATTTGGAATAGTATTCAAGAGCTATTGATTTTGTTAATGTAGGGATTGGTACTGATAAGGGTTTGAAATGAAGAGGATTGAATTGAAGTGAATTTGGGATGGGAGTGAGGTTGATATAAAGAGTGTGTGCGGGTGGGAGCTAGAGAACTGTAGCAGGCGTGTTCACCAAGATTCGTATTTCTTTTTCTCTTTTTCTTTTTTTGAAAATTTGATTAGACGGTTTCTATGAATGATTAGGACTTTTTTATTCCTTTAGTTGTGTGTCAAATAATATAAGTGGTTATTTCACTCAATTGAAATTTAATTTGGGAGATGAATAAAAATTTAAGGTAGGATGGTGATATCTCAATCGAAAGTAAAACAGATTTAGAACTCAAAACACCTTTTCAAACAGATTTATACTCGACTGGATGCTTTGACCAAAAATAAAATACTACTCGGATGCAGAACTTCCATATCCATAAATTAATGCATTAATTACTACTAGAATTCATTTAAATTGAGGAATTTTTTTTGTTGCAATAACTAGGTTTTGAAAAAAAATCGTAAATAATTATATTTCGAAAAAAATCACATAAATAACAATGTTTCAGAAAACTTCATAAAGGAGGAGTCATCTCACTTGGCGTCTACACCTTAAATTAAACGGGATGCACCATCTCACTTGGCGCCTAGGTGTTAAAAGTGTGTCCTAAGTCATGTGAGATGACGCCTTAGTGTAAAGGAGGTCTAATTTTTTTCATTTTACGATATAGCTTCACGAAAATTTGACTTTTTATTTACACAACGATTACATAATAAAAAAAATATAAAATAATTAGTGGTCCCCGGAACTCAGTAACGATCCGCGATTCCGCATTCGCGTCCTCGTCTGTTTCGTGGTGGGTTTCGTCGTGTTTCCTGTTGTGGTAGGGTCGATGGCCCAGCGAAGTCCATGCGTTCTGGATCCATGAAATTGGTCAGATCTCTATATCTAAAAGATCTGTTTTGGTACAGTCGGTTATCCATACCCTCAAAGTTTGGTCTTCTTAGTGGTGGATGGGGTTCCATGGTTGGTCTATAGCACTAGTCGTCTGAGTAAGGGGGTAGAAAGGAAATGAATCATGGGGTGTTTGGTATTGCGAATGTTGGGTGCTTTGGTGATGTGGTGGTTGATGGTAAGTTCGGTCGATTGGGTCATATTCTTCGAAAAATCCCAGATCAGGGCTAATATTATATGTTGAGGGGCCCATATTGGGATATGGAGAAGACTGGAATTGTGTGTGAGGCATGCAGGTGTATTGGTATTGTGATTGAGATTGTGGTTAGGTGTGGGGCATATGGGGGTATTAGTATTGAGGTGGTGATTGTGGTTGGGTGTGGGGCATGTAGGTGTATTCGTATTGTGGTGGTGATTATGGTTGGGTGGTTGTGGAACTGTATCGTCGGGGAGGTTAGTGGGAGGTTGATGTGTGTTGGCTTTGTTGTTGGGGAAATGAGGGATGTGTCCATTGTGTCCGTGGGTCAACCAAATATCTTATATGAGACACATGCATTTCTGGGTTACTAACCGATTTGTACCAAGCTAAATATTGATCTGTGTGTCGCATATTACTCTGGTTGAAGAAAATATGGAATTGCAAGACATATTGGTGACGCCTATGCCACATCTTACACCACTCTGGAGAAAAATCTTTCCAATTGGTAAGACCTCATTGGGCGTCGACCCTTTTGAGATGCCACGGGGACAAACAAGTTGGATTGCAGGGTATCTCTTGATGCATTCCAAACTGCATTTTAACACGGTCGTTGTGGTGCATCTTCACAATGTTGAACCGTATGATTGTAATCTTTGCGGTCCAAATTGATGCATCCTCGGAGTTTGATTCATGGTCCAAACCCAAATATGGTCTCTAGATAAACTTTGGATAAAATTAAATCAGCTTAATGAAAACGTAATAAGTAAATAATTTAAAAGTAGAAAAGTTCAAAGGTATGACGTACATCATTCGGGCCAAGGTGATCTAATAGATTGCAATATAGAGCGACATTGAATCTGTGATTCTTGCCGTAATCCATACCCGTCACGCAGTACCTAAAGGAATTGTAAAATAGTTTATTTTTATCATATATTTGGTGAACAGATGAATAATAAATGATATAAGTTCTTGACTTACTTTATTGTGTATGGGAAAATAAATGCGTTGTTGTTGATGGGGTTTAGGGACTCCATTCTCCATCAACCCCAGACTTGGAGTAAGAAAGTGCATCCATAAAAAGTATATTTTTCCTTGGTTGCATTTTTACACAAGGAACTGTATAGATGGGTTAAAACAACAGAACCTCAACTATACTTTCTAGTTTTTTCAAAGTTTTTAAGTAAATTTAAATACATGAAATTTACATTATTCCTCATACTTTCGGGAAATAAAAAGGTTCTAAAAGTATCATTATATAATTTCTAGCTTTTATTACTCTAGCTATCTCGGAGGAACTTTCGTTCAACTCCAGAGTCGCATAATGTTTTTTGAGTTCAGTAAGTAATATACCTTGGCCTCTAGCACCACCATCTTCAACCATATATTTGCCCAACAATTCCTCGCATAGAGAGTTGGGCTGTTGAACTGACCCGTTAACCGCCTTACCGTCAACAGGGAGACCCAATAACATGTACATGTCCTCTAGTGTGACTGTACATTCACCTATTGGTAGATAAAATGTATGTGTCTCGGGTCTCCGCCTTTCCAACATTGTAAGTATGAACTTTGAATCAATCGTGCATTTGGAGATCTTTATAATATTTCTGAAACCCGTATATTCGAAATAGGGCACAATCAACGGGTCAGGAGCAACGTAGTTGTGTGACCGAATTCTGAATCTTTTAGTATCCTAAATTCAAAATGTAAAAAAGTGTAAGAGTCCATAAGATGTATAAATCATTAATAATATTATAAAAAATTTATAAGTATACAAGAATATTTGAGAATTTATGAAAACTTACAAACGCTACAATGTTATCCCTTGTGCCCCTGTGAGAATCGCCCATTGTGAGAAGAGCCATATTTGAAATTGTATGAGATAATGAAAGAGTATGTATCAGAGAGTGAGATGATTGTTGATGCAAAACAAGTATGTGAGGCTCTGTATTTATAGGCAAAATTTCATCACGGAGTGAATAAATGAGGTGGTTGGTGGGTGCATGCATGCATGATATGTGTCACTCATGAGGTGGTTGCAGTGTAGGTGTAGGTTAGGTAGAAGCCTTGGGGAAAGCATCTCTGCATGCATGTAATACGATTGGACATGTAGGAAGGCGCCATTTGACTTGGCGAATGAGTACATAATTGAAAGGTGTCGTCATCCCAGTTGGCGAATTAGAGGTGGCATGGGTTGCAGTATAAGTGCAGGCTAGGTGGCAGGCTTGGGGAAGGCATCTCCACATGCATGTAATACGATTGGACATATAGGGAGGCGCCATTTGACTTGGCGAATAAGTATAAAATTGAAAGGTGTCGCCATCCCAGTTGGTGAATTAGAGGTGGCATGGGTTGTAGTGTAGGTGCAGTCTAGGTGGCAGCCTTGGGGAAGGCATCTTTGCATGCATGTAATACGATTGGACATGTAGGGAGGCGCCATTTGACTTGGAGAATGAGTACAAAATTGAAAGGTGTCGCCATCCCAGTTGGAAAATTAGAGGTGGCATGGGTTGCAGTGTAGGTGCAGGCTAGGTGTCAGCCTTGGGGAAGGCATCTTTGAATCCATGTAATATGATTAGATATGTAGGGAGGCGAATTAGAGGTTGCTTACTATTGTTTTATTCAAATTCAGTACATCATATTTTATCCTACATTTATCAAAATACTTCTACACTCAACCACTCAAACACTCGAACATTCAAAAATTCAAACAATCAACTCAAAGACTCAAACACTCAAACACTTAAACCTTCAAAAACTCAAACCTTCAAACATTCAAACATAATGGCCTATGCACCACAATATGTGATCAATGCATATTTCAACAGTGAGACATGCATTTGTCCCACTTCTGGGTTTTTGTTTAGAGACACTGATAACATTCGATTTTGTTTAAACAGGAAAGTCAATTTCTTGCATTTCAAAAAATGATTGGAGGTCACACTTGGACAAGGTCCCGTGACACAAATCTTTTATCAAAATCCATTTTTTGTGACAACCAAATAATATTTTATAAGGTTGAGGTTCAAGATGATGAGGACCTTCAGAATATGTTTTCAAGTTATGAGTATTCTGGGTACGACTCTATTGAGTTGTACATTAT